ATATATATATATATATATATATATATATATATATATATATATATATATATATATATAATTTTTTTTTTTTTTTTTTTTTTTTTAAAGTGGCATTAAATAGTATTAAATAAAATTAGCATCATTTGTCTTGAGGTTAGATTTTCGCATATTTTCACAAGAAAAAAAAACAATATTAGAAGAAAATTCTGGCATATATTTTAAGAAAAGCAAACACAAAAATCTATCAATTTAGGCCACAGATACAGTGCTCAGCATAAATGAGCACACCCCATTTTGAAAATGATTATTTTTATCCATTTGTCAGTGAATATGTGTAATATATATTGATGCATTTGAACAAAACTGATTTATTAAACAGATGTATTTATTAAAATAATATTTTAGTCGCAGAACATCATTAGAAAGGGAAAGATAATGTGTTTAAATTCATGCAAAATACTGCAAAAAAAAAAATACAATCTAAAATCAACAATATTGTATATATTTGTTTCTCTTGATTTTTGCTATTTTTGAAAATATATATGTTTTTTCTATTACAGAAATTTGTGCTACTAATTTTTGAATCATTGTAAGTTTTATTAGATTAGCTCCAGATCTGGCTTCAGTTCTCACTAATCTAATGTAAATGCACGAATACAATATTGTAGAGCTTCCTCTAGAAAATATTAATTTAAATGAGAGATTTGTGAGGGGTTTAATCATATATGCTGAGCACTGTATATAAAACAAAATGCCCCTCGAGTCTTTATTCCCTGGACTGTTTATGTTTACATTCCTAAACCATTGTATATTCTGTTTAATCTGAATATTTCTCTGTTAAAAACCTGCACTAGGTCAGAGATCTGTGTTTCTGCATGAGTTTTCATCTGCACTTTTGCATGTAATGAGCAGGAAAATCCTCCATCCTGAGTTAAGAGTGATGCATCATGAGATTTGGATGTGCTCAGACTGTAAATCTGTGTCTGCAGCGCACCTGTACAAGTGTTATGCACTGAGAGAGAGCTGTGGATTGTGTCTGAAGGCCGACCCGAGCTTCGAGTGCGGCTGGTGTGTTCAGGACAGAAAGTGCTCTCTGCGGCAGGAATGTGCTCAGCCGGAAAACACATGGATGCACGCCACTGCCGGAAACAGCCGCTGCACACACCCGCGCATCACCAAGGTGAGATACAGCATGCGCAAAAAAACTGTTCAATCTACACTGTAAACACTGCTGGGTTCAACACAATTCCTTCATGTTGTCCCAACATCAATTTTATAAACTTAATCATTTTCAAAAATATAGGTGGATTGAACTTTTGTTCCCTCAAAAAAGTTAAGAATGGTGTTGTTTCAACTCATTTTATTTAAGTAGTTTGAACAAGCAGTAAAAGTGAGTGTATTAGATGTTCTGAGTATTTTCTAATTAAGTTTTTATTTGTTTTAAAGATTACAAACTAATGTTTATCTGAAGTTGGGTTATTGCTGTGATTTTCAGGAAATTTAATTAAATACAAAAACATTTAATTAAATAAATTAAATTAAAATTTAAAACAAAATAAAACCAAGTAAAATAAAACTAAGTAAAATAAAACCTTTTAATATAAAATAAAAAATATGAATAAATACAAAATAAATAAAAATAAGGTATTTAATTTTTATTAAAAAAAAATAATTAAAAATAAATAAAATATAACAATGTTTTTTATTAAAAATAAAGAAATATAAAACTTTTTAAAATTTTAAAATAAAAAATATAACAATATTTTTTCAATTAAAAATAAATAAATATAAAACTTTTTTTAAATTAAAAAAAAAATAAAATATAACAATTTTTTATAAAAAATATAAATATAAAACTTTATTTATTTATACATTTTTAAAATCAATAAAATATAACAATGTTTTTTTTTTAAAAAATAAATCAATATAAAACCTTTTTTAAATTTTAAAATAAATAAAATATAACAATGTTTTTTTATTAAAAATAAATCAATATAAAACCTTTTTTAAATTTTAAAATAAATAAAATATAACAATGTTTTTTTAATTAAAAATAAATAATATAACAATGTTTAGTTTATTTAAAATAAAATATAAAATGTTTTTAAATAAAAAATAAATAAGCTAGCAATGTTTATAATTTAAAATAAAATATAAAAATATAGCAATGTTTCTATTTATTTAAAATATAGTTTTAATTTTAAATAATTTAAATTAAAATATATCAATGTTTATTTATATTTTAAATAAATAAAATAAGCTTTAATTAGTAAAAAAATGTTAAAAGTTTTACAAGTATTTTGTAAAATCTTGCTTTGATGACTAAATCATTGTTTAATAAATACTATAAATCTCCCAAAAACATGGTTTATGGTGAATTTAGAGCAACTAAGTGGGTTTGAGGTACTTAGCTCAATATTGTTGCAATATATTAGCTCAGCAGTGCTCATAACCTTTTATCAATTCCCTGTAAACAGCAGCTTCTCGGATAGTATTATATATTTGCTCCTTGCTGAGCTCACCTCAGCTCAACATCTGACAGATTCTTCTAGATTTCATCACAAATCGAGACAAACTTCATGCTAGAATACATCACACATGTGCACTGATCACCTGTATTTGGCCGTCATCTTTTCAAAGTCAGCATTGCGTTCAGTTCCAAATTTGGATTATTAACTTTTAGATCATCGACTTACTAAATTTACATCCCCTCACGTTAATTAAACTCCTCCTTTGTTCTGGTTAGATCTCTCATCCTCTCTCTTTTTTTTGTCTGTGAGGCACCGCTGTCGTCTTTTACTTATTAGATTAGGTGTTAATTTAATTTGGAGAAGAATGAATTTATCACACGGATTATTAGCCCACCGTAGGCACTTTGAGAGCCATCTGTTCAGAAAATGTACACCTATTCTCTCTCTCTCTCTCTCTCTCTCTCTCTCTCTCTCTCTCTCTCTCTCTCTCAAGCTCTGCTCTCGTATTTTCATCCATCTCTCTGTAAAAATGTGTGAATGTCAAATGAAAGCAGTCCCTCAGAAACCAATTATGCCTTTGTGTTTGTGTCTGCGCTTCTCCTGTCTTGGCTGAAGGTCTTGGTGGCTGCAGATGAACTGGGTTTGGATGATCTTCACCAGATTATTATTTTCCTTTAACCACCAGAAGCCGTTCAGGACTGTTTAGACCTAGATGAGATGCTTTAAAAATTAGGGATGCACTCATATGGAATTTTTGAGCTATACCGATAACCGATAATTAGCCGATATAGTAGCCGATAATATACATGTTTCCCATTTTTATGCAGGATTGCAGAAACAGAAGACAAACACACACACACATTGAACATTAGATTATATTTCACAACATGATTTTTAAACTTTATTAATTCACTATCAATTTCTATGGCCAACTATCTTTTAAATCAATCAAATCTATTGCCTAAAACAACAACAACAAAAAAAACAACAATAATTTATCCATCAAAAAAATAAATAAATAAATAATACCTAATATTGGCTTAAATATATGGGGCTAATTTTGTTATTGGACTGATAATGATAAGATTAAAAATAGCTTTTCTGGAGTGATATCGGTATGTCTGCTGATATATCTTCCAGCTGTCTCCTGAAACCGGGCCGCGGCAGGGCGGAACCAGACTGACCATCAGCGGAGAGAATCTGGGCCTTCAGTTTAAAGACATCCAGAACGGGGTGCGCATCGGGAAAGTGTCCTGCCAACCTATCGAGGAGGAGTACATCAGTGCTGAGCAGTGAGTCCACACACACACACACACACACACACACACAGCATTAGCTCTGAATTTATGGGCAGTATTGCATTACCTTATTCTAAAAGTTGTGTTGATCTGACAACTGCTGGTATTGAGATGCTGAGTGACAGATAAATGGAAGACTTTCTTTCCTTCCATCCTTCTTTTGTTCCTTAATTCCTTCCCTTTTTCATTCCTTTCTTTTATAATTTTTTTCTTTCATTCAGTTTTCTTTTATTTTTTCCTTCCTCCTTTACCTCTCGCTTTCTTCCTTTTTTTCATTTTTCCCTTCCTTCCTTTCTTGTTTCCTTTTTATCATCTACTTTTCATTCACTCCATCTTTATTTTTTCCTTACTTAATTTTCCTTCCTTTTTGCATCCCTCCCCTTTTAATTCCTGCTTTCCTTCCTTTTGTTTTTTTCCATGGTCTTTATTTCTTACTTTTTCTTTTCTTTCTCCCTCCTTCCTTTTACCGTCTTTCCTTCCCTTTTTCTCTTTTTATCCCTTTCTTCCTTCCATCCATTTTTCTTTTCTTCCTCCTTTCCTCCTTCCTGTCTTTTGTATTTCTTCTCCTTTTCATTTCCTCCATCCTTTGTTTTTTCTTCATTTTCCCTCTTTTTTCATCTCCCTTTTCCTTCCTTCCTTCCTTTCTTCCTTCCTTCCTTCCTTCCTTCCTTCATTCATTCCTTTCCTCCCTTTTCCTTTTTTCTGTCCTTCCTTCCTTTCTATTTTCTTTCTTTTCCTCCTTCCTTTTTCATTTCTCCCCTTTTACCCACTCGATCCCTTATTTTTTCTTCCTTTTTTCACCCCAACCCTTTTCCTTCCTTCCTCTCTTCCTTCCTTCCTTCCTTCCTTCCTTCTCCTTCCTTCCTTCTTTTCCATCCATCCATCCATCCATACATCCATCCATCCTTCCCTTTTCCGTTTTTCTTTTATTTCTTGCGTTTTCCTCCTTTCTTTTTCCTCCTTCCTTTTTCATTCTTCCCCATTTCATTCCCTCAGTCCTTTGTTTTTTCTTACTTCGTTTTTCCTTCTTTTTTCATCCCTCCCATTTTCCTTCTTCCTTCCTTCTCTCCATCCATTTTGCTTCCTTCTTTTCTTCCTTTTTCTTTTCCTTTTCCTCATCCATTATTTCCTTCCTTTTAAAATTCCTCCACTTTTCATTCCCTCCATTCCTTGTTTTTTCTTAATTTCCCCTCATTTTTCATCCCTCCCCTTTTCCTCCCTTCCTTCCTTTCCATTTTCTTCAGTTGTCTTTTTTTCCTTTTATTTTCCTTCCCTTCTCCTTCCTCCATTCCTTTCTTTTTGACATTTTTATTTGACCCATTTTCCTTTTCCATCTTTGTAGTTTATAAAGGTAATGTCAGCTCATCATTGTGCTGTAGTTGCTGCAGATCACAGCACTCTCACTGAAGCGTCTGTTCTGTGCACGTGTGGCACCCTTCATTCAACTTGAACACTTTTATATGCCGCTTTTAGACTGTTTTCAGTGCTGATGCTGAAATTAGATGACAATAATGACTTCACACTTTATTAATGAATCATGGCAGAGCTTCACACTTCCAGGAAATAAACAAATACCACCATTTATACACACACACACACACACACACACACACACACACACACACATTCTGGTAAGGTTGTAGTATCTGCTGTTGTGTGAACCTATAAATGCTCAGTTAATAACTCTCCGCAGACAGAGGATGACCGGCCCCAGGGCATGTTGGGAGTGTTTGCTCTCCGTTTCATTAATCACAGGCGTGTGTTTCAGCATTGTAGTGTTGTGTGTGTCTGTGTAGCGCCTGCGGTGGTGCTGTAGCGTCTCTGTGCTCCTCCATCACTGCTGATGTAGCTTTTGATTTGAGTGTTTGGTGTCCACACGTCTCTCAGAGCCTCTTCTCTCTGTCCGTCTGCAGGATCGTGTGCCGTCTGGCCGATGCCACAGGTTATCGGGTGCAGGAGGCTCATGTGGAAGTGTGTGTGCGCGACTGTCTGCAGGACTACAGGGCGGTTTCTCCAAAAGTCTTCACGTTTGTGGTGAGATTCACTGATCATGCTGATCCAGACTATTATACAAAATACATTCATTTTCCTTCGGCTTAGTCCATTTATTCATCAGGGTTCCCCACAGCGGAATGAACCGCCAACTTATCCAGCATATGTTTGACATAGTGCATACCCTTCCAGCTGCAACCCATAATTGGGAAACACCCATTTACACTCAAATTATTAAATTATTAAATGATTAAATTGAATTATCAGGCATCAAATTGTCTCTTTAAAGCGATTATGATCTGAGAACCCTTTGACATATCGTTTAACATAAGAGCTCATAATATGATATTAAAACATCCTGCAGGTCTAAATTCAGCTTTAAAGATCCGCTGGTTTAGTTTTAGAGTTACACCTGCAGACTGAATGTTTGATCCACAAGGGGTTTTCCTGCCTCTTTATTAAATGATTTTGTTTAATTGTGTGTGTGTTTCCAGTCTCCGTACTTCACCCGTGTGGTGCCGTCATATGGGCCGATTTCTGGAGGAACGAGGATCACTATTTACGGCAGTCATCTGAACGCAGGCAGCGCCGTTTCCATCAAGATCGGACTCAACACTTGCCAATTCGAGAGGTACTGATCTGATGATCCTTTCTGAACATCTCAGTCTGCTTGTTATTTCAATTAATAAGATTTTCATGTTTTCATAAACCCAGGCAGAATCATTAGATGTGCTTTAGTGAACCATTAGCGGGAACGGTTTTCCATATATCTCTATATATATGATGTTATTGTTAACGAAAACTAATTACTAAATTATTAATTTATATATATATATATATATATATATA